AGCATATTTAGCCAATTGAACAATTTATTTGGCTCAAGAAATTCTTGGAAGCTTTGTTACACAAGGAATAAATCAGAACAGGAAACACTGTGTAATTTACCACTTCACTTTATCCGAAAGAGATAAATAAGATAGAAGTACAATTGGTCTTAGAATACCATGAATTCTAGCCTCTGCAAATTTGAGGAAGAAAACCCTTAATCCTCTTCTCCTTCCCCCATCTGAAGCAGAAAAAAAACACTTGATCTTCCTTTGTTACTGACTGGTAGGGAGCAGAAAGCATTACAAATATAAGTTAGGTTAAAAATCAATCAAACCCTATTTCCTACTAGACATAGCACTTTGAACACTGGAACAGCTGGAGAGGGTCAGACCACTGATCATTTAGCCCAGTCTCCTGCCTTCTGAGAGTGGCCAGTGCCAATGCCTAACCAACTTGGCCAATAGTCATTTATGAACCCATCCTCCATGAACTGATCTAATTCTTCTTTGAATCCAATTATACTTCTGGCATTCATGACATTCCCTGGGAAGGAGTTCCACAAGTTAACTATGCCTTGTGTCAGGAAGCACTCCCTAATGTTTGTTAAGATTGCAGATTATAAATTTAGATAATTAAAGCATTTTGTATGATGTGCAGGGGTAAATATCACTTCACTATTCACTTTCTCCACACCAGTCATGATTTTATAGACTTCTATCAAATCCCCCCCACCCGCCGCCCCCGAGTGATCTCACACCAAACAGAGACACCTGTATGAAAACTATTCCATATCTCATAATCCCTTTCCTGTTCTTTTTCCAATTCTAATGTAATTTTAAAATGAGGTGACCAAACCTGCACTCAGTATTCAAGATGTGGGTGTACATAACATTGTTAGCTTTTTAAAATTTCAGCTACAGTTTGAAACTCCATAATCCGGAGTTGTCTGGTCCAGCAACACCCCTGGTCCGGCATCGTCGGGTGACCCCCGTGAGAGCACTCATAGGGATAAGCCGTCAGGCTGGGGACAGGAGTGTTGCCAAACAAGAGGGCCGAGAAGATGGAGCCCCAGGGAAAAACACAGAGCCCCCTGGGTGGGGGGACAGGGACTGTAGCTCCCTGTCACGGTAGAGGACAGCAGCATGGCTGGGCCATAGCAGCGTACTGGAGAGGGGTAGCACAGAAATGTTGAGAGAAGCACAGAGCCCCTCAAGTGGCAGCAGAGCTACTTGGTGGAACGAGGAGCTCCCAGGCAGTAGTGGAGCCCCCACGTGGCGGCAGACCCACTGGGGACAAAGAGGGGTCCCCAACCACCAGCAGGAGCACAGAGCCCCAGGTGAAAGCAAAGTCACCAGGGAGAGAGTAGAGCTCCATATGGCGGTTGAATCCCCAGCCACTGTGGGGAGAGCAGGGTCCCGGCGGAGGAGTGGAGCCCCGAGCAGCAGCAAAGCAGCAGGGGAAAAAGTAGAGCTCCCTTTCCCCAGTGCTGTGGGGAAAGCAGAGTGCTGGGTGGCTGTGCAGCTGCCTAGGGAAAAGCGGAACCTCTGGGGGGATGAGGGGAAAGCAGATACCCCCGACACTGAATTGATCTCCTCTGGTCCAGCAAATTCTCTGGTTTGGGACCAGTCAGGTGCCATACCAGGGAGATACAAGCTGTACAGAATGAGCAGATCTTTTCAGAGAACTATCCACAATAACTCAAAGATCTCTTTCACGAATGGTAAGATCTAATTTACACTTCATCATTTTCTACATTTAGATCGGGGTGGGCAAAAGGGCCTCCATGGACCAGATCTGGCCTGCAAACTGGGTTGATCCAGCCTGTGGATGACCTACTGCTCCCCTGCCCCCAGGCCAATCAGGGCCTGGTGATGGGGGAGCATGCAAAGTCTCTGCCCGCACCCCTAGCAGGGGAGGAGCCTAGAGGGAACCACCATCTGTTCAGAACAGAATCACAGAATCATAGAATGCTAGGACTGGAAGGGATCTCAAGAGATCATCGAGTCCAGTCCCCTGCCAGTACTGTCTAGACCATCCCTGATAGACCTTTATCTCACCTGCTCTTACATATCTCCAGAGATGGAGAGTCCACAAACTTCCTGGGCAATTTATTCCAGTGTTTAACCACCCTGACAGTTAGGAACTTTTTCCTAATGTCCAACCTAAACCTCCCATGTTGCAGTTTAAGCCCATTGCTTCTTGTTCTATCCTCAGAGGCAAAGAAGAATAATTTTTCTCCCTCCTCGTTGTGATACCCTTTTAGATACCTGAAAACCGCTATCATGTCCCCTCTCAATCTTCCCTTTTCCAAACCAAACAAGCCCAGTTCTTTCAGTCTTCCTTCATAGGTCATGTTCTCTAAACCTTTACTCATTCTTGTTGCTCTACTCTGGACCTTCTCCAATTTCTCAACATCTTTCTTGAAGTGTGGTGCCCAGAACTGGACACAATAATCCAACTGAGGCCTAATCAGCACAGACTAGAGTAGAAAAATGACTTCTCATGTCTTGCTCACAACACACCTGTTAATACATCCTAGAATCATGTTTGCTTGCAGTTATCTCTGGGGGGAGTGGGAGGGAGGAGAAGGGGGCTAAGACTTGATGCATTTCCCCCCTTCCCAGGCTATTCAGGGTCTGCGGGTGAGGAAACACAGAAGTGTCCCGGCTCCACCCCTTCGGGGGCAGCCCAAGGCCATTTCCAAAATTTCTGATATGCCCCCCATCTAAAATTATTGCCCACCCCTGATTTAGATTGAAGATGTTTCCCAATTACATTACTTTGCATTCATCAACATTGAATTTCATCTGCCATTCTGTTACCCTCTCACCAAGTTTTGTGAGATCCCTTCTTAAAAATGGCAGTCAATTTTGGACTTACCTCTCTTGAGTAATTATGTATCATCTGCAAATTTTGCCACCTCATGGTTCACCCCCATTTCCAGGTCCCTTATGAATATTTTGAACAGCACAGTCCTAGCACAGATCCTTGAGGGACCCCACCATTTATCTCTCTGTTGTGAAAAATGACCAGTTTGCTTGCTCAAACTGTGACCATTTCATAAATATTCTTGAAATAAACGACTGTGAACAGACAGTTCTATACTTCTATAATGCTAAGGAATACATACAAGTTTATTACAGATCACACTCTCTTTTGTTTGTCACTGTCTATTATTGCAAGGGCTATATATCTAAGAAGAAGCAAAGTCCCAAATGAAACTGAATGAAAGCCAGGTTTTACAGCCATTAACAACAAATGAGAATGTCAACATAAACTGAAAAAATATACATGAATGAAGCCTTTAACCAATACAATTCAATCTGCTTTTGGATGCACCATAGACATGAATAGCAAATAATTTTAAATGTAATTGCTTAAGTAGTATATTTTTGCAAAGAGCCAAAGATAAAAATGTTAATAGTGTTCATGTACAACAGCTTTTAAGTAGCTGCCTCTCACTCAAAGTATCCAGTATAAAGAGTTCATCAAAGGGGCCCTCAATGTCATTCTGATTTCTTTCACTTTCCTCAGCTGTTATATTTTTGCTACTCAAGGGCCTCTGTTGTTAGTTAGCAATTATACAACTTAACCTACCACTTGACCTTCATTCCTGTGGTCTATGAGGTCAAAACTATTCAAAACTATTCCTTATTACATTGTGTTCAGCAGCAACAGGTACTCTTTCAGAGCAATTACATTTAAAAAAGTAAAGCATCACACTAAAAATCATTGAGAAAAAAGCTGTGTTATCCTGTGATAGCTCAAAGGGCACATAAGAAAACACTTTTAGTATAGAGATGCTAGGTAGGTTTACTGGAGACTTCTTGTACCCCATGTCAAACAGCAGAAGGCACAATGTTCTTCAAAGTTACCCAAATATTTCATTTACTGTACTTGGCCATATAATTTTTGGATGCATGGCAGGCATTTGCAGACTTCCAAAAGAGCACATAGGAGCACAAATAAAATATCTTTCAGTGAAATTCTGTTTCCTTAGAGCAGCGGTTCTCAAACTTTTTGGGCTCTGGAGCCCTTTACATGCGTAAAAATGTATGCGGAGCCCCAGAGGTGTGGGTTAATTGCATCAGTTCGAGGAGATTTCTCAATTATGCTTTTGAATGCTTTCCAGTTTGTCAACCTCACAGAGTCCCTGGAGATGTCTCGTGGAGCCCTGGGGCTCCGCAGAGTATAGTTTCAGAAATACTGCCTTAGAGGCTTCACTGGTCCAGAAGTTGTACAGAGAATTTTTTCCCCAGTAAGACAGAGGGAGGTAATTTACTGATAGAAAAATCACATTGAAGAAGAGCCCTAACAATCCTATTTTATATGCACATTTATGTAATGACTTCCATCTGCAAAGTGAGTTGAGAATTTAAAAACACAAGAATCTCTTCACTTAATAAAATCCAACAATTTTCAGGGTGAAATGAAGCAACTGTTTACAACACAATACTTTAATGTATGAAGTGAAGACAATAACTATCCATATCCACCAAAAAGTACCATATCTATGTAGGTATAAAATATGTACATCCCCCCATCATTGTTGTATCTGCATGTCACACACATATAAGACAAGAAAAATCTCATTTTCTCCCTTCCCAGTTGGTCAGAACTTGGAGAAATTGACAGATACATACGTGCATTGATAGCATACTGAGGGAAAGCTAGGCTCATAGGATGAGCTTTGCATTTAGTTCTGACTGGAGTCAGGTCTCTGCCAACAATTTTAAGAGACATAACTAAAATGATATTTTGGATTTTATGTACAGTTTGTTAAACAAAAAGGCAATTCCTTTGGGTCTTTGATAGTCACAATATATATTCATTTATCTCTAACTGTACTATGTTGTACCCACAATTCTTTGTCCTTTAATGGTCCTTGTTTTCAGATAACTTGTTCATTAACTCTTATAATTGTATACAGAAAGAATGTATCCCTTTGCTAGTTCAGTTCTTATATAGGCATTGTTAAAAAAAATTGCAGTCCTAAACATAAACAAAAGTAAATTACCTCCAGGTTCATCAAGGTAAAAAGACGTGTCTTTTTTGTCTTCTCTATCATCAATGTGATCATAAGTAATCTGTGGAATGGATAAAGCAGTCTCTCCAGGATTTATTATTGGTGTAGAGCCATTTTCACGCCCAGGTTTTCCTTTTCTTTTGTATCTTCTAGACTATAGCAAAGGAAATAGGATAATAGCGAAGATATTAGTTGCATATAAAGAAAAGTGCAACATACTTGAGATTTATTGTATAGTGCATTTGAATTGATACTACAACCTTAAAGTGAAGCAAAGTTTATAGTGCATTTGAATTGATACTACAACCTTAAAGTGAAGCAAAGTTAAATAGTAAGGGGGGAATTCAGAGCCAAAGTCAAATTTAAAGCCATGGCCAAAGCCACTGGCCAAGGTTTTCAAAACTGACAGAGCCTGGATGCTCAATTTTAAAGTATTTTAAAGAGGCCAGACTTCTAGTGAGCAGTCAGTCAGTACTCTCTGAAAAGGTCTTTCTATTTTTTCTCAAATTGAATATCCAAATCTTGAGTATAATAAACAAGGCCCCAAAAGTATGAATTACTACTTTACAACTGCACAAACATCAAGACTTTTTAGAAAGATAGAACCAAGGACAAACAGTATAAAAACACGAGGTCTAATGACTAGATTTCTTCACTAATATTTGATAATTCAGCATTGCTGTAGCCTCTCTGAAGATAGAGGTACAGGTAGACATTTCTCCATTTTTCCTGTCTGTGAATAAGTAAATGAATTAAAAATTAAATTAACATCAAGCTTTGATACTATATGATGTCCCAGCACAGTACTAAAATGGCATCTAATATTGTAATTCAAAACATTTATAACAGGGAAGTCAACTATCAGAGAGAAAGCTTGGACAAAATATTGTGAACTTTAACAAAAGGTTTACCTCATGGGCAATACCATTAGAAAATAAAGGGGCTGTGTTCCTACTGATTTATTTTAGTTTAAGTTGTAAAGTGAAGTAGCAAGTCTAATGTTTGCAATTAACCATGCTTGTTCTACCAACTTAGTGAAAATACTTATGCTGAAAGAGGCTGTAAATAAAAAGAACTGAAATCAAACCACTTGACCACAGAGTTGAATAATCAGAAATATAACTGATTAATAAAACACACACTCAGCTCAGCCATAGAACAGAGGTTTCACTATTGTTAAAACAAGGAGAAGAAAAATGGAAATTTACACTTGTTCTATTTTGAGAACAACAGTTACTGGAGTGACTTTGCACTGTATTGAGTACTATTAAAATGAATTCAAACATTGTCAAATAATATGGAGGTAGTTTTTATAAATTACATGACCTCTAATCTGGCTGTTTCAGCAGCTAGCAGGCAGTATTTCATCTAAGGTTCATGCCTATCTAGGCGTGCAACATGAATTTGAGGTCTGGGGAGTGGGGGAAGTGTACAAAGTCTCCTCCCGCCCTGCAAAGTGTACACAGCACTTAGAGTCAACTGCTAGCTGAGCACCACCATGCAAGTGTCATGTGTGAATTCTGCTGGTCCCCAAGCCTGGCTACACAACTCAGATTTACATCTCTAGCTGTGGGGACGGAGCACTCCTGCGGCTGGGGACAGACAGTGGGGAGGTGGGGGATGACTAAGTGACCGGGCCAGCTGGGGAAGAAGCAGGAGAGAACAGATACCTGTCTCCCTCTCTGGTCATATGTACATTGTACAGCTCTTGCTGGATGCATATATGCATACTGAGCCACTTGCAAATTGAGAGATTGTAAAATCTGACCAAGAGAATTTACAGGAAGAAACAAAGAGCAGGGGGTGACCTGTTTAAGGATAAAGACAAAGGATTGGTCTAATCTGCCTTTGGAGCAAAAAGAAATACACTGGATTTCTCACCTCAGAGGCAAACCGAAACCAGGCGTTTGTGAAGAAGGGTCATAGCATGAGCAGCTGTAAAATGCTGCCGGGTTTAGGGGGAGCAGGACTTGGCTGGGCAGGACAGTGTCATATTAACTGAGACATAGCTCCAGAATGCATGTTAAGTTTTTATTTTCTATGGCAGGGAGAAGCCTCACCGCAGTCCCGGTTCCAGCTATGGCGGAATACCACATGGCCCAGCTGGTGGGGCTACATGGTGGGCAGCTGCTCCTGATGTGCTCTGGCTGGAGCAGGGGCACACTGAGGCTGTCCCTGCTGAGAATGGAGCCTGGGATCAGCTGGGGAGTCCCCAGATGACCCCGGGCTCCACACAGCGCTGCCACTTTGAAATACCATGGCACCGCTGCATGGAGCCCGGGGTAGCTCCTTGTGGCGCTGCTTTGAAATGCTGAGGCAGTGTTTCAAAGGGGCAGTGCCGCACAGCTTAGCCTGGGATCAGCTGTGCGGCACTGCCCCTTTGAAACACCGTCACAGCGTTTCAAAGTGTCAGTGCCGCAAGGAGTCCGGGTACAGGCTCCATGTGGCGTTGCCATTTTGAAGTACCCTCACTTCCTCCCCTTTGCTGCTTCTGATAGAGGCAGCAGGGGGAGAGGAAGAAGGGGAATCGACTAGTCACCTATAATGATCCAACTGAGTGTAAAATACAATAAAATGCTGCCAGATCATATAAGGTAACAATGTATGCTCAACTGAACAATTAATAAATGTCTTCGTAAGGGACTAGGTAATGAAGAATGAGACCCATAGAAACCAATGGATACCTTCAGAACAGATATATCCACCCATCAGGTTTGTTTTAAGGAAAATTAAGTTGATCTTGACACAATGCAAGAAAATAGATTCTATGTCCCATTACAAGTCTCTTCCAACTCAAATATTTCTACAAATTCACTGCAACTTTTATACACTTTTACTAATTGTTAACCCAACCAAATTAAATCCAAGAAGAAAGTAAGAGTACAGCAATTTCCTTTTAACCTGTTTTCTCAGATTAGGGCTAGATGGCGCTGCTGTTTTTTTTGTATTTTGAGCTGGCGAGGTAACATAGATCTTCCATGTTGCTGTAGAACTGTATGATTTCTCTGCTGCATAGCACCGCCACAGAGTCTGTAAAGTAAAAACCAAACAATTCTCTATGTGAGCAAATGAACACTGTGTTCTAAAGGAAAGGTAACTACAATCCTGCCAAAAATAAACCACAGCAATGATCTTTGATCTATACAAATGTATTGT